GGGGGGGGGGGTTAAAAATAAATGATTAATGGGTTTTGTTAGTTTGGATATTTTGATTGCTTCAGTCTTTTGATTATCCTCTGTTTTTTTACCCCTACTCTCTTGGATGGAGATTTTTAATTAACCATTTCTTAATGGTTTTATTTCTTTCATTTGTTTTTCTTTTTTGTTTATTTATCAGTCTGAATTCAATCTCAAAGTTACCTAATTTGTCTTCTTTCTCTTGTATCTAGAGTTTATGCACTTTGACGCGTCAAGATTCAGAGTCGAACAAATTTTTTAAACAGACCCATTCCAACTTTTTATTTTCAAAACCGACTCTTTTTTTTTTTTACCAAAACCGATCCGATTTTGTGTTTAGCAGACTAATCACCTTCCTAAATAGTCGGGGTTGTCAACCCCGACTATTTAGGACATTAATTTTTAGGGTTTAATGCTTCTAATTAGGGTTTAACACCGTCCTAAATAGTCGGGGTTGCCAACCCCGACTATTTAGGAAGGTGATTAATCTGCTAATCATAAAATCGGGTCGGTTTTGATAAATAAAAAAAAAAAAGTCGGTTTTGAAAATTAAAAATTGAAATGGGTCTGTTTAAAAAATTTGTTCTTCAGAGTCCGGGTAGTATTTTTAAATGCAGATCTGGGATATTTCGTATTTAGAATAATTGCTTGTACGGGTGTCCATTCTTTTTTTTTTGTATGTGATGCTGACTGTTTTTTTAATGCCTGCCACTGATATTTTTTCTTCTGCTATTTTTTGTGTGTATTTATTTAGTATTGTGATGTCACTAATTTTCCTCAAGTTTGTTCGGATTTTGGTGTCATCTGCTGTTAGTACCTATTTACAGTTTGTGCCACTCTAATTTTTTTAATTAGGTAATCTGATTCTTGAATGCACTGTTATATATTACTTAAAGGAAGAGAATCTAGGTGATTGTAGCTGAGGCTTGTTGGGAACATTATATTTCCTACCCACCTCAAGGTTATTTAATGCCCATTTCTTGCTATGTTACTTAGTACCTCAAATGGATGGGGAACTTCTAGGTACACAACCGAGTTTTTGGGAAATATGTTTTATCTAAAATCAGTAAATATTCACGTTATTTGAACTAATTTCATTGTGTCATACTTTATTTCATGGTTCATACATGTTAATGTTATTGCATTATAGGCAGTAGGAACCATAGCAATATTGTAGTTTCCGCGTTTAGGACTCAATCATATATGTACCGTAAAAATCATTGTTCATGCATGATGATGCATTGCATGATAATCAGTCTGCATTCAACAGTTAAATTACTTGCTGCACGTTTTTACTTCAGCATGGAGTAAGATTTTTAGAAGGGAAGCATTATTGCAGTGAGGGTCTATAGCCACAATGCTAGGGCAGGTGTGAGAAAACAGACCATCAGCACCTAATGTTGCAGGTGGATGAAGTTATGGTTCATGACACTCCAACTGTGCTGTTTCTTTTTCGGTTGGCAATGCTCATATTATAGTGCTTCTGGAGCAGTCTCGCTCAATATCCTACTACCAAATTTAACTTCTATTGTAAGGGACATGAGACTTAATGGAGTCCAGAAGGTTCTTATTGTTTATAAGGGAAAAAAAATATCGGATATCATTTTCCCCTATAATTCATTCTGTCCAGTTTCCACATTAAATGTTATGATTATCTGTGGTTTTATGATACTGCTTTTTGAAGATTTTATTTTTTCTCAATTGAAACCAGGGTTGGGAGTCAGAAGAAATCCTTCAGTCCTCCGAAAGAGGTGCACGTTCAGGTCACTCATTCAATGCCACCTCAAAAGATAGAAATCTTCCAGAGCTTGGAGGATTGGGCTGAGAACAACATCTTGGTCCATCTGAAGCCGGTTGAGAAGTGTTGGCAGCCTCAAGATTTCCTACCAGATATGTCGTCTGAGGGATACGAAGTTCAGTTGAATGAACTGAGAGAGCGGGCTAAGGAGCTTCCGGACGATTACTTTGTTTGCCTTGTTGGGGATATGATCACTGAAGAGGCTCTGCCTACTTACCAAACGATGCTCAACACCCTTGACGGGGTCCGAGATGAGACAGGTGCAAGCCCTACTTCTTGGGCTATTTGGACACGGGCATGGACTGCTGAAGAGAACCGACATGGGGATCTTCTTAATAGGTATCTCTACCTTTCAGGGAGAGTCGATATGAGACAAATTGAGAAGACTATCCAATATCTGATTGGCTCAGGCATGGTAAGTACTTTCTGCATTTTCTGTCTGCTTTCATTAACTTATTTTTGTCTTGATTCTCTGCAAATTATTTAAATTTTTCGTCAATCTTTACTTTTGCAGCATGATATTATGAAAAAGTGGTTACAACTTAAGATAAATAGTTTAGTACGTATCTAATCAATACCGGTAAATGGCTACTGATGTTATTTGTTAGGATCTGCATCATTTGTATATGAAAAAGTGGTTACAACTTAAGATAAATAGTTTAGTACGTATCTAATCAATACCGGTAAATGGCTACTGATGTTATTTGTTAGGATCTGCATCATTTGTTATTATTACCTTTTTCATCTTGGTAAATTTGTGCGGTAGAATACAACTACTTGCCGGATACTGTGGAAGCCTAAAGATTTTCTTGAACTCTTGATTCTTTTCCGTTCAGTGTTTGCTTGATTTCAAATTGTCGTTAGCAGAAGTGGGCCCAGTTTTCTATCTTCTGCATATCGTCGTAAAGCTATTGATCATTTATGGTTTGGGAAGTTCTATTTGTCAATTTTACAAATTTAAGCTATGCTATTTCTATAACAGTAGCATTATTGCAGTATAGCTAAGATTTTCATAATGAAACGATTTAATATGATATTTTTTAGAAGTTGCTAGTTCTTCAATTTGAACATAATGCTGATTTCTTTAGTAATTTAGATTCATAACTAGTTCTCTATGCAATGTCTCTGTTTCCACAATTGTGAGATGTCTTTTTCTTTCTTTGTAAATTTTAAAAATTTAAGGTCCGTCCAAAACAGCTCACAAGTGTTTGGCGTAGAAGTGGAACTTACCAGTCCGACCATACAGAATCCTATTGCAATTTGTACACAATCACACATCATCAGCCAAAACCTCAAGCATGAATGTTGACGACTGGCTGACCCGAGCGTGTTATTCATTTTGATCTTCTAATTCAGCACTCTTTTCCCAGCTATTTCTATTTTCGGGCCAGACAGAAATACTTAATAATTTTGTGAATAACCGACAGACCTTGAATTTCAAGCTCAAGAAATGATAATGTTCATGCTCGGTAAAATTTTCTGATAGTGTGATTTTCTATGTAGTTTCATTGTTCAGCCACTGCAACATTCTGAGTCAATGAAAATTCTCAAATTAGTCTCAAGCCTTCCCTTAGTCATGTTCTCAGAACTATTGTCCAGTATTCAGTTTTACCATATATATTGTTAAAACTCATAAAATTTATAAAGTTACTTATGCATTTTACAACTTATTCAATAATTCTCTGTAAATTATTCACGGAACAGTGTAATGTATGAACTGGTGATCAATGTTAGTATTTGACATGTAATAGCTGACACATGTAACCGTCATTATTTTACTTTTACCTTCTGATTATTGGTTTCTGGCTCATTATTGGTTTATTTCTTTTAATTTAACGTCTCCTCTTCCTCTCTCTGTTGTACATTCACAGGACCCTAGGACTGAGAACAACCCCTACCTCGGCTTCATCTACACCTCCTTCCAAGAGCGAGCAACCTTCATATCTCATGGCAACACAGCCCGTCATGCCAAGGAGAAAGGAGACCTGAAGCTCGCCCAGATATGCGGCATCATCGCCTCTGATGAGAAACGGCACGAAACAGCCTACACAAAAATTGTCGAGAAATTGTTTGAGATCGACCCAGATGGCACGGTCCTCGCGTTTGCTGACATGATGAGGAAGAAGATCTCCATGCCTGCCCACCTCATGTATGATGGCCGCGACGATAACCTCTTTGAGCACTTCTCCTCCGTCGCCCAGCGACTGGGTGTCTATACCGCCAGGGACTATGCTGATATCCTCGAGTTTCTCGTGGATCGGTGGAAGGTGGGGGAGTTAACGGGGCTCTCGGGAGAAGGGAAGAAGGCTCAGGACTATGTCTGTACGTTGGTGCCGAGGATAAGGAGGTTGGAGGAGAGGGCAGCAGGGAGGGCTAAGCTGAAGCCTAAGGTTCCTTTCAGTTGGGTGTTTGATAGGGAAGTGCAGCTTTGATTGAGGTCTTTTCAAGGGAGTTGTTATCAGTTTTGGGTTTTCATTGCTTAGGGTCTTAGTCCATGTGTAAGTTGTATTGTTCTTTGGGGAGAAGGCGGGGGGAGATGATATTTGGGGGGGTGAGGGCTGTAGATACATAAATATTATAGTCTTTGAGGAGCAGAGGTAAGGTTTGAGGTGGTGTTATTCATGTGTAAGTTTAGTACTCTGTTGACGAGTAAATGTTTAAAGTGGTTTCTTAAATCTCTCCTGCCAAATAATGGTAATTATTTTAGCTCTCGTCGTCTTGTTAACTTCATGTTGAATTTTTCTGATGGAATTAGCGCTCCGCTATGTGTTCCGCTGTATTTTGTTTCTTTTATTGGCGTCTTAAATGCATTCAGAGTGTTTCACCCTGATGAAGGACTTGGATGCATTATGATTTATCATTCAACCAGATAAAATTTGCTTTTGCAGCAAACTAGATGCGACCAAATCATTACTTACCCCGGCCACGGCACTGCTGAATCTATTTCCCACCTCCTACAATGTTTTAATGCATATGGTTGTCAATTGTGAAATCTTCGGAGTTTATTTTCGAGAATCCTTTCTTCTAATGTTATTTTACAGGTCGCACGCTTTCTAGCCTTGGTTTGGTAAGGGGTTTGAGGATGGAAGGTGAGGTGAGAGGGGGTGCATGATGTGGAGGGATGGACATCCCCTTTTTTCCTTTTTTTTTTTAATTTTAGAAATGGACATATTTTTAAGCTTGCATGTTTGGTTGGAGGGGAGGTATAAACTTTTGTAGTTTGTTTTCTCTCTTATCCTCCTAATTTGGGAGAATCGTTCTCTCTCTAACTTTTTAGTTCATTTTGTGGCTTCCTTTCCCTTCCCTCACCTCCCCCCATACCGCCAGGGACTATGCTGATATCCTCGAGTTTCTCGTGGATCGGTGGAAGGTGGGGGAGTTAACGGGGCTCTCGGGAGAAGGGAAGAAGGCTCAGGACTATGTCTGTACGTTGGTGCCGAGGATAAGGAGGTTGGAGGAGAGGGCAGCAGGGAGGGCTAAGCTGAAGCCTAAGGTTCCTTTCAGTTGGGTGTTTGATAGGGAAGTGCAGCTTTGATTGAGGTCTTTTCAAGGGAGTTGTTATCAGTTTTGGGTTTTCATTGCTTAGGGTCTTAGTCCATGTGTAAGTTGTATTGTTCTTTGGGGAGAAGGCGGGGGGAGATGATATTTGGGGGGGTGAGGGCTGTAGATACATAAATATTATAGTCTTTGAGGAGCAGAGGTAAGGTTTGAGGTGGTGTTATTCATGTGTAAGTTTAGTACTCTGTTGACGAGTAAATGTTTAAAGTGGTTTCTTAAATCTCTCCTGCCAAATAATGGTAATTATTTTAGCTCTCGTCGTCTTGTTAACTTCATGTTGAATTTTTCTGATGGAATTAGCGCTCCGCTATGTGTTCCGCTGTATTTTGTTTCTTTTATTGGCGTCTTAAATGCATTCAGAGTGTTTCACCCTGATGAAGGACTTGGATGCATTATGATTTATCATTCAACCAGATAAAATTTGCTTTTGCAGCAAACTAGATGCGACCAAATCATTACTTACCCCGGCCACGGCACTGCTGAATCTATTTCCCACCTCCTACAATGTTTTAATGCATATGGTTGTCAATTGTGAAATCTTCGGAGTTTATTTTCGAGAATCCTTTCTTCTAATGTTATTTTACAGGTCGCACGCTTTCTAGCCTTGGTTTGGTAAGGGGTTTGAGGATGGAAGGTGAGGTGAGAGGGGGTGCATGATGTGGAGGGATGGACATCCCCTTTTTTCCTTTTTTTTTTTAATTTTAGAAATGGACATATTTTTAAGCTTGCATGTTTGGTTGGAGGGGAGGTATAAACTTTTGTAGTTTGTTTTCTCTCTTATCCTCCTAATTTGGGAGAATCGTTCTCTCTCTAACTTTTTAGTTCATTTTGTGGCTTCCTTTCCCTTCCCTCACCTCCCCCCCAACTCTCTTCTCCTCTCTATAAGCCCTCTACCAAAGGCAATTTATTTTATGTCCATCACCTCACCTCCTCTTCCCTCCTGCATAGGCTTGGTTTGGTAGAAGGGGAAGGTGAGGGGAGGGGAAAGGCAAAAAATTAGATTTGCCTTTGGTAGAGAGTTTTTAGAGAGGGATGTAGGAGAGGAGAGGCGAGGGAGAGGACACCCCAAAATAAACTAAAATTTTAAAGAGAGAAGAATCCCTCCAAATCAGGTCACAAGAGGAAAAACAACGAACAACGAAAGCATTTTTTTCCTCCTCCGTTCCCCTCTAACCAAATATAAATGTTTAAAGGGATGTTCATTCCTCTATCTTCTCATTGTACCTCCCTTTACTTCGCCTTCCCTCCTCAAACCCTCTACAAACCAAACCCTAATGTCAGTGTACAAGTCTTTGGCCTTGTCTATTGTAAAATTGTCCAAGGCAAATATTTTGGTGAAGAGCCTAACTCTGTAGCATGAGTTTTATGGATGCTTCCTTCCTCTATACTTGTGTGAATCTACTGCCGGTACCTATGTTCTACTTAACTATTATAAAAAATAATCTTACTAGGAAAACTAGACACAATAAATGAAGAATTACAGGAAAACAGCAAACCCATCTGCCAGGCAGACTGGCGGTCGACCGGTGCGGTCGATCGCGAACGTGCATGAAGGGTAGTAGGAATCGGAGCTGGTGGCGGTCGACCGCCGCGGTCGACCGCGAGGGTTTTAGGGTTCGGTCGACCGCCGCGGTCGACCGTCGATGTTTCTGGGCTGGGCTTTTGGTTTTCGACCCGATTCGTTTTGTAAGTTATATATATCCCTAAACCTGATTGTTTAGGGTAAGGGCAAAGACGAATTTGAGCAGTCTTTGGGAGAGAGTTGTTGTATCCAATTGTGGGAGAGTAGTGAGAGATCAAGAGCATTGTTTTAGGGTTTGGTCTGAGAGATTTGTAACTCTACTTGTATTCTCTGATTTCTAATAGTAAGAACTTCCCCCTCCTTGCCTCGTGGACGTAGGCATCTCGCCAAACCACGTAAATCTCTTGTGTTCGTTGGTGATTGTGTTTGTTTATTTGGTTGTGATCTCTCTTGTTTGGATTGTGTGATTCGACCGCTTCCGCGTCGCGCACAACAATAAAATTACTACATAATCACTTATAAGGGGCTGGACGTTTCCAAGCATTTCGCAAGTAGTTTGCAACTTTTATATTGAAAAATAAGACGCACAAGTTTAAAATCCTATATATTTACCAAATGCATTATTTGGTTGGCCCTTTCATGCCATGAGATTTGGAATTGCCATTCTCGATAATTGCATCAATTGAGATTCTCTAAAATTATGTTGATCTCAATCAGATTTATGATTTTAGTGACACATCTATTAATGACTAACCAAACAAAATTTGTTGTGGGAACGCGATTTGTTCTTGGATATGTTTACAAGAGATGACGCCTTAAAAATATTGAAGAACTCCTCCATTGTCTTCGATGCCTAATGATAGAATAATATGGGTCGCTAGTATGAGAAAAAGTTTTAGTGTGAAACCAGCTTACCAAGTTGCATTGAGCCAGGACCGTCTCAAGCATTTTTGAGGTTCTAGGCAGAGAAAAATATTTGGGGCATTAATATTTTTTAAAAAAATTTAAATATTACTTTTTAAAAAATAGATTTTATATAAAATTTAATTTTTTGGCTTTTTGGGATGCAATGTTACTAATTAAATTTTTATATTCAAGCTTTGATAATAAATCCTTTTCAATTGATAAAATTGCCAAATTATTTAATCTTTCTTGAGACATTGTTGAGCGTAAATAAGATTTTATTAATTTTAATTTTGAAATCTTTCTTGAGACATTGTTGAGCGTAAATAAGATTTTATTAATTTTAATTTTGAAAAACTTCTTTCTACTAAAGCTATACTAACATGTATTGTCAGTAGTATTCTATAAGCTATCCATGCATTGAGAAAAGAATTTAATTTTTATAAGGTTTAGTATCTCAAGTGTTGTTTTTAATTCAGGATTTATTATTTCTTTTAAAACTTTTAGTTCTGAAAATAAATCTAAACCATCAATACCAGATAACATGTCATGTTTTAAAAAAAAAAATTCAAGATGCAAACGTTTTTCTTTTAGAAAATGCGGCGCCCTATGCGGAAGCGTGTATGCGCACACCGAACGAATTTGAGATCACGGGAAGAAGATGACCACACACAAGTACAATCCAATTCAAATACGACAAATCCAACCAAACACAGAGATATACGTGGTTCGGCAATTTGCCTACGTCCACGGGGAGAGGATGGGGAGATTCCACTAAATCAAGGAGAGTACAAATGGTTACAATCACATAAAATCACTCAAACTAACCCTCAACCAAAGCTCTCAACTTGCTTACAATATCTCTCTCTCACAATGCTCAATAGCCTCTCTGAATCTCTCAAATTTCTGTTATTTTACCCTAGAAAATCGTGTCCCTATTTATATCCAAACAGAAACCCAAACAGAATCTAAACACGAAACCAAACTATGCAAAAAACCTATCATAAGTCGACTTAACAGGTGCCATAAGTTGACTTGGCAGAGAGAAAAACAGCAACTGGAGAACATTTCTTAAGTCAACTTAACAAGCTTCACAAGTCGACTTGACAGAACGAAAAATCACAACTCCAAAACAGAATGTAAGTCGACTCGTGCACAGACACAAGTCGACTTACCATAAGTCGACTTATGCATGTGCACAGAAAACTGGTTTTTTCTAGTTTTCTCCACAGAAAATCATCACCAAGAAATTTTAATTTTTCTACATCATACAAAAAACCAAAATTATCTTCATATATATTAAACTGTTCAAACCTAATTTGAAGTGAAGAAATGGGATGATCAACTATATAGTTGAAATAATTAATTTTAAAAGATTCTTCAGGTGAAAAACTCACCTCATTAGTTTCATTCTCATCAAAATTTTTCTTTCTTCTAATTACACGTTTTTCACAAAATTTTGGTTCTACATTCATTTCATTGGCAATCTCTTTAGCACAAATCATAGCAGATGTGAACCCATTTTTTCTATAGTCATTAAAAATTGAAACAAGACTTTTTAGTTGATCTAATGCAATAGCAATATTCATATCCTTATATTGTAAAAATTTACTAACAGTGTTAACTACAAACAATATATCATACCAAATAATTATAACTAATAAAAATTCAAAATTTTCAATCTCATATGTCGCTAAAGAAATTGCTTCTTTTTTTGTTTTAGGATCATCTCTAGCTTCTGCTAGTTGATATAAAGCATCTCTTATTTGTGGAGCTTGATATTTTATCGCTTCAACACTTTCAAGACGACTTTCAATTTGATGATACTTTAAAGTCTGACACTGTTACCTGCATGAATATGACAACACTTTCAAGACGACTTTCAATTTGATGATACTTTAAAGTCTGACACTGTTACCTGCATGAATATGATAAAAGAACAAACAAATATTAATTTTTGATGATACTTTAAAGTCTGACACTGTTACCTGCATGAATATGATAAAAGAACAAACAAATATTAATTCTTATTTAGATTAATTAGAATGAGCATCTAGGAGAATAATTGGCCCAAATTAAAAACACCAGGTAAAGATTAAAATCTAATCAATTTAGTTGAATAAAATATATAAAATAAAAAAATAAAAATACAAAATACAGAACAAAACCATGATATATATATATATATATATATATATATATATATATATATTCAATTATTTAAA